GACAAACACTACTGAGCGATAGTAAAGCAAGTTATGAATACAACAAGTGACAAGTATCCTTCATGCACACATGCTTCGCAATGCGTCTCCATCAACTTACAAAATTTGAATCGCATTTGTTAACATTCTAGTAGCATGACAGACATTAGTCATTAAAAAGTAAATATACATATAGTACCATTACAAACTATATTGGAATAAATTGCTAAATTTAGATTCATGACTCCAGGTCAATGAGGTAGGACACCTATCCGTGGAATTCCTTATCGATGTTCAATATCTAACATTTTTATGCTCATTCAGTGTCTGAATGCAGAATACAAGAACACAATTTTCACTAAGGATTTCATTTAAATCCCACCTTTCACTTCATCTGGTAAATTGGAATGTGTTACAGTAAGGTGTTCACAGAAGACACATGTAAATAGCTTTAGATCGTTAACATAAATTTCCCAGTAAATATAACAGTTATAAGTAGCATTGATACATTAAATGAATGGGAAAATGGCGGATATTGCTCATTTTCTTAACACTGAAAAGATGATGTTTATCCTCACGCCAGTTCTATAATAGCACAATTTTGTAGTGAATAGTTGGAATAACAAACCAGAAGGGAAGAAGAACCTATATATAACATCATAGGAATAGTCAGTATTTGACTATCCATATTATAATACTAGATGTTTTACGGTGTATATTGAGTCATAGAATGGTCTTAGTATCAAATATAAATATCAAAGAACATATTTGAAAATGTGATCTATACCACCTGAAATAATTATCCACAGACTGCTGTTTTTCAGATTGTGACTGACAGTGTTTCGAATTCAGGTAATAACTTATTACCAGTCAAGCCCAATCTATGAATGGATAATACCGTCTTGATACGGAATGATGGTCTCCATACAAAAAGAATATAAATCTCACAAAGTTTATTGATAGTTTTATGCCTTATGACAGAAAATAAATAGGTCATTCCATTGTGCCTGCTGACCATTCTTTAATAGCTCCTTAGAAATTTATTGCCATACTCGCGGATACTAACAAGAAATTAGTTGAATTTTGAGAACAATGAGACAACTGTCAAATTCTCCTACGCAGAGTGTTGGTAAGTTACAGAGATAGCTGTCAATTCTGTTTATGTACATTAGGTTACCATAATAGATGATTAAATCAATATTGATTTGGAAGCACGCATCAAATGTTACAACAATTAATATAAGAAAGTCAAAACGAAACAAACCAAATCTATACGCTAAGGGTAATTGTGAGTAACAATCTTGCAACGACACAAGGATGAACACTCACTTGCTAATGCCTCCTTTTCTTTGGGCAGATAAGCGCTTGGTAACCGTCCACAAAAATCTCGTATATCAGTTCTAGCTTCTATATAAAAGCAGATAAATAATACATGATCAAGTTGAAACTGTGATTCGCTAATTATTCTTATTTATCATAGATAAAAGTTTTGTACAATAGAACACCTGGAAGTGATTCACATAAGGCGGAATGACAATTTTATATTGAGTTTAAAACAAAAGAAAATACTACACTATTTATAGGAATAAGCAATGAATTGAAAACAAACAAATAACTAACATAAACGTAATTGTTTTCTCCATTACCATATTAGATTCATTATTCTTGAATCAATGATGGATAAAGTATTCATTTGGAACGTATTTATAAGAACAGTGTCAAGATACATTTAAAAAGATGGTAGCAATTACTTTAATAAGATGACAGTTTTTGTCACAGACGTTTATTCGTCAATTCAGCTCAATTACTAATCCATACTTCCAATCTCTGACTCATCAACTGCACAAGGTGAGAAGAATAAGAGTGTGCAGGTAGATGCATCACTAAAAGCCCACTGAATACGCACAAATATAAATTGTTGGACTAATTCAGATACGGAAATATGGGTATAAACATTAAATAAGGCTACTTGATCACAGTACTTTCATTCACACTTGGATTTCGATATACCATGTAGTCTCGCAACAACATGTGATCTGTCTAGGATTGCCCACTACCAAACTGATTTCAGATGGAGAACTAATGAAAACCAAGATGTAATGAACAGTTGTTCCCCAACAGTTCCGTTATAGTTTGGAACTTAACAGCACATGATATGTCTATAGCCGTCCACACTATCACACCACATTGAGTGAATATATACAGACTGGTGTAGTTCTTAAAATAATTTCAAATCATAGCTTTCATTACTACAGTGAAAATCAATTCTTGATAATAAGGTCAGAAAAAAAGAGCGTTAGACTAAAAATAGTAATTCGGAGTTGTTCCAAACGGTTTATAAATAATTACTGAAAATGATAGCGGTAAATGAACAGACGCACTTACTGTACACGGAAGTTAATAAGAATATAACATCTTCATTCCCGTTGGCAGCGGCCAAATGTAAAGGAGTCATACCCTACAATAAATTATATATATATATATATATATATATATATATATATATATATATATATATATATATATATATATATATAATTCGTTGACAGAAATATATACATAAATCGATCGGATTTATTGATAAGATTTACTAAGTAATATAACTGAGGAACTACAACATAGAACATATCATAAACTGTTTTGCATTTGAAAGATTAATTAGCACATACATAAATAACACTAACCGTTTATAACTACTTACCTCCTGTGGAAATGAAAGCAGTAACATAGAAAGAGAAATGAAAACAGAAAAACACAATTAAGATTTATTTTAAAAACAACATATGAGTTCGAATATTTTGTTTAGTTATTATAGTTGCGTTAATAAAAGTTGGGTAATTTAGACATCACTCTTGAATATTTGACCGGAGAGGCGTGACATTATCCGTATCGGGACCATGATAGTTTCATATACACGACTTGCTGTTAGATCATCAGAGTACAATAGAATTCGTTTGGCTTGTAGTTTGGACATTTTTATTTGAGTTCTTTCGGATATAAGTGATTTTTTTAAGAACCAACGTGAACTGGAGTAAACCATTGAGATTCAGGTAACCCCGAATGGCTATTTCGACATGCACATATCATTACATAATCAATGTTAACCTATGCTACTTTTAGTCTGAATACCGAACACTTCTAGTAATTTAAATCTAATGTACATGACTGATGTAGTTTTAATACTGAATGCCACTAACCTCCAGAAAGAGAAGTGGAAAAATAAAGCATTCGTATTTTAATCTTTGTGTAAGGATATTTATTGATGCAGAATACTCACATATCAACAATTCTACAACAATACTAAAGTATTTAAATATTGTGCACACAAAGAAAAAATATGTTGACAATTTACTTTAAAATCTTTTATTTAATTAGCTTTTCTAATTATTTACCATAATTTACTCCTAGATAATGATATTTTTTGGGTGAGTGTACATACTTTACATTTTATATAGGACAAACGAAACCGAAAAAATGTTGCTGTGTGTAATAATTATTAGTCAAACAGACAGTCATCATTAACATGGAATGATATAAGTTGCTATACTATATTAGCTCTACGAGATGAAAAATAACATGATAATCTGCAGAGGAGATAGGAATAATGTAATAGCAACGACAATAAGAAAGGTTAAACAATAGGAAAAGCGATACGATGCCGGAAAATAAATAAGGTCCGGATTGATTGGAGAACAAATGACCTACAAGTTAGTTTCCTCCAACCACCCATAGCATTTTATTGTGTTCATTTGTGCTCACATTTCGCACACAAGAATGTTATTTTATTACATGAAAAAATCATCTGGTTAATGATATTGTCTTCGATTTCTAACTACTTAGGGGTCCAAGTCAATTATGGTTTTATAAGTTCTCATAACTGGATTACAGTATACCATTGTGTCTAACTAATAATTATCATTCTACTAAATTTTGACAATTGAGAATTTCCTCACTAAAAGCTATCTTCATAGCAAAAAGACAGAGTGGAAAGGTATGTATGGAGCAATACTGGAGTTCAAAATCGAAAAGATATGGAGTGAACGAATCTGAACCGTTGTGAACTGACCGAGTTTATCACACGAACCTCAACCAGGTTCTCACATCTTAAACATGTCACAGTCATATCAGCCGATGTAGCTTTGCAATTTCACCAACCGACTTGCCTATCTTGCCTGGTACTATAAGCCCAACTTGAATATTTCTAAATCGTTCGTTCCACAGAAAGTGGGCAATGTTTCAAAGATACTATAGCCTGTAGCCTAATTTGTCTTCTACTTTCACAAACCATGTTTCACAACAGTAAAGTAAAACATACAAGACTGCTGCTCAGTATACACGTCTATAGGTTTGCAGACGGAAATCGCGTCTACGCCAAAGTGACTCAAGTAGGCAAATGCCAACTGAGCTTTCTCAATTGGTGGGAAGAATTCGTCAGATGTTGGCCTTTACTAGATAAGTAAAGTAGTCAATTTATTCAACTACTTCACTCTCTATCACTAGTTCGGGTGTTGACACAGACCAGATTTGAAGCAAAATTTCGCATTTATGGTAAGAGAAACTCATCCCAAACATGCTTGCATTATTGCTCTTGTAAATGAAAAGACTCTATTTTGTCAGCGTCTTTATCAAATAGGAATATATCATCTGCATTTTATAAGTCATAATAGGATGAACCGTATACACGTAATACATAAAACTTACACATGTCTGAGCATCAACTTGAACATGGTAATTTCCAAGTAACAATCGGATAGCAGCACAATCTCCATATTTAGCTGCATAATGTAGTGCAGTCTGAAGATCGGAAAAATGCAAACATGGCTCGCCCATTAAAAGGTAAAAATAGTTCCTCAAAAGTAAATTAAACATGGTTAATAAAATATATTTGAATATTTTACCGAATTGGGTTAGTGTATTAACTTCTACTGAAATGATCGTTAGTAAAGTTTCAGTAGATATACAGAAGATCCAGCTAACATTTAATAACAACTAAGGCTTGCTGTACCGATCAGATGCCTACCTAACAATTGAGTCCCGTGCATGCGGTTTAGGTGCAATATTCTTAATTTATGACTACAAGGTATCGATAATAAAGACATCAGACATCATGACTTTGGATATTTAATAAAACATGCTTCTGAAATATCCCTTGTGTATAGTTAAAAAGCATATCTATTCACAAGATTGCAAACAAGCATCGACAAAAACCTAACGCGTTAGTAGGTACCAACAACTAAGGTTGACTTTTACATAGTAAAAGCAGCCTGATATTCAATAAACAGACAAATGACAATAAATCATAAAATATTGAGGTTTAACCGAAGAAACGTAGGGACAATTGAATAGTTTGATGTCAGGAGACAAGACACAATGATCACCAATATTACAATCTGGTTTTCTTTAAGTAACTATTTTCTTCGTGGCTTTTTATATTTTTCTACTGATTCATTCTAACACCTTTTGCTCTTCTGAGCTTCTTTGTCTTTTTTTTTAATGCCACGACATTGTTCAGTAACCTTACATCCCAAACTCAGTATTGCTTTAATCAGTTAATGTTACATCTCTTACTTAATTACGGCAGAGGACGGTATAAAACTATCGGCACTCAAAGGTGCAGAACCCCAGTTGCAAATCGAAAGAAGCTGGGGAAGCGATTATTGAGCAAGAGTCGAAAATGTACAGAAAAACAAGGATATCTATAGTTTTCAGTATAGGCTAACATTCAAATAGGAAAGCTATATAATTGTCTAATCACAGCATGTTAAGTTGATATTGGATGGGATCTCTTCCGTTCCTTTAAAGCCTATGGAAGCTCTTTCGTGCTTTCTGGGAACAGTCCAACAGTCAAAGTATCCAAATAAGAGCGTATTGGAACCAATGCATAAGCTGTGTATACTTTTTTACCTTCTGACAAAATAAACAGTATGAACTAGATTCATAATTTTGATAATTTGATTTTACTTCAGTAATCTTATCAAAGATTAGGTGAATTTAATAGCTAACTACCACGATAAAATAGTAACTTGAAGGAATGTAAACTTCTCAAATCTGACGTGAAAACTTATATATACAATAGCGTAAATGGATTCGTAAATAAAAGCACGCACAAATAAATACTCCTACAATACTGCTAAATAACCAGTACATAACACTATAATATACATCATCAAGGAACATATGTGAATATAAATACTTACATACTGTTTTTCAATTGGATTTTTCATATTCGCCATAGATTAATAATAGTATTCAAAGATAAGAGGAAAAGTGAATTTGTTGAGTGAGAATAAAAAAAGGATTAATTAGTTCTTAATATCACACGACAACATATAGGAATTAAAACAACTTTTATTGTTATAACATTTTGTATGCAACAGGAAATGTATTTATTTCTAAGATTAACAAGTAATCAAAATTTAAATAAAGAGGTAATATGTTGAAAAACTGTTGTACTATTGTCATCAATAGGAAAAGATATGAACATCTCAATAAATATTCATTCAATGAGTAGCGTTAAAATAAAGAAACTATGTCAATGTATTCACCAATTCTGATTATGTAACTTGAAAAGTAGTTAATTAAAAAGACAAATTTTGATTGGATTTATTAACCGAGTACAGGTCAAAGTACTTGGTTCCCCAAAACACACATTACATAAAGCGTTAGTAATATTATGTGTTATATCGAAGCATTATATATACAAAAAATCGTAAAAAGTCAGAAAATAATTTCCAGGCTGTTTCACAAATACATATCAGTTACGATATCGAAAGAACTGTAACGTCTATTTCAAATACTTCTTTTATTTCTAACTATTAGGCACAATTCCAGTTTTAACCAAATGTATTCAGCTCACTATAAAAGTTTTAATCATGTACTAGAACTAAAAAAAATAAATTTTTGTATTTTATCTTAACCAATAAGTTTTATACAAAATACTTTTTTACTTACTCCATTGATACTAGTCTAAAAAAACAAACAAAAATAATTGACAATCTAATAGAATCGAAATACACCAACATTGTGTACATGATCATATGAAAACATAAGAAATTTGTGCACAATCAGACACGTAAAGTATGAATAATTATTCTTAGTTAATGAGTAAACGGCTAGAAAATCAATATACTACAACCCAACCAGTTGGTTATATATGTTTCATGACAAATAGATAATTAAATGGTGATGGTATGTCAACTGAAATTACGAGAATATAGTAATTTCAAACAAATTATAACACACTAAAAGTATATTCTGATATTTACCACCTATTCACACACACAAACACACTTGAAAAAATATCAGGACAGTAAAATAAGCTGTCGACGTATGTTGTAATTATTAAAGCCATTAATCAGGTAATAGTCATGAGATCTTACAAATTAACATTCAAGAAGCATTATTATAAAATTTTTATGCAACCTAGAACTAGTGTTTTTTCCTGCTAAATCTCGTGTAGCAGTAAATAAATCCCCAAAATAAATAGCTCTGTAAGTCTTCGACATTGGATGCTGATCACATTAGTTTCAATGGACTCACCTAGCTGAAGGCGCTCGGTCATGCATCCGCACCAGATCACGAGTGGAACGCCGTGCTCAACAACCCCTGCAACCGCTAGCCAGATTAGATCAGACGATCCTCGATATATTGATGATGATAGCCTATCAAAAATACCTTCGAACCTCCTCGCTTCTATCTTTTGATTTCACTTGGTGGGTACGATTCGTGTTAGGTGTTACTGGTTAAAGCGTTGTCAAACTCCGAATACCTGTGGCATTTTCATTGGTGAGCCCGACGTGATGTGGTACACCAAGTTGCAAATTGTGAGTCTGTTCCTTTTTGGGATTCTATATATCACTGCCTTATCTTGATTTTTTATACATTGTGATTTTTTTTTCGTGCTTTTTGGATATATATGTATTTTTCCCTCCTTCATTCTAATACTTGATATTTTCACTATGACTGAACAGACACCCAAAGTACTTAAGCTTAAGACTATATTCCCACCTTCGTTCCAACTGATTCCCTTCAGGCCAGACAACATCGAAGCCTTGTTCTGCTACTCAGAAACCGACTTCTACGAGCACGGCGTGAACGACACACGTGCGTAATTTCTCGCAGTAGTCAAGGCACTACCGCGCGAATTCAACAGGTACGTAACACCTAGTATGTTTACTAGTGATGTTTCTGAACCCTACAAAACACTGAAACGATCTATCCATAAACGCAAAGACCTAACCGACAGACAAATGTTGGACCAACTCCTTAATAACATCGACCTGCAACACGGTTCTGTGACAGACATGTTGCAACGAATGAGAGAGGTTATCGGCCAAAGAACCTTCGATGATGGCCTATTTAAACAACTTTTCCTATCCAAACTTCCTCAACAGGTGCAAGCGGTTCTGGTCTCGTTTCAAAACAACACCTTAGACGAGCTGGCTGCATCTGCCCACAGCATCTTAGAAATCACCAAATCTTCTAATACCGAGGTTTTTTCAGTCAAAGAAAGACCTCAAACGACCCAGAATGACATTACAGAGTTATGTCATACACTTACGCGTTATCTTAAATTTCGTAACAACCGTAATCGCTCACACACCCCACGTAGAAGCATTTCACGTAAGCGATCTGTTTCTAGACCACGAGACGGATAACCCAGACTGGTGCTAGAATCATAACCAGTATGGAAAGTCCTCCAGAAATTGCAGAAAACCCTGCAATTTTCCCAACTCAAAACCGACCGACACGAGGAATAACTCGGGAAACTCCCAAGCCGGCACGCGTTAACGGCAACCGTAGCCGGCGAACATAGCCGCCTGTTATACGTCACAGATGTGATAACGAGAGTTCGCTAACTCGTCGACAATAGCGCAGAAGTTAGGCATCCCGGTAGTTTGCATGAATTTTTCATGACTATGAAGATGCCACAGGTATTCGGAGTTTGACAACGCTTTAACCAGTAACACCTAACACGAATCGTACCCACCAAGTGAAATCAAAAGATAGAAGCGAGGAGGTTCGAAGGTATTTTTGATAGGCTATCATCATCAATATATCGAGGATCGTCTGATCTAATCTGGCTAGCGGTTGCAGGGGTTGTTGAGCACGGCGTTCCACTCGTGATCTGGTGCGGATGCATGACCGAGCGCCTTCAGCTAGGTGAGTCCATTGAAACTAATGTGGTCAGCATCCAATGTCGAAGACTTACAGAGCTATTTATTTTGGGGATTTATTTACCGCTACACTCCCGTTTTTATATGAAGACTGTACTTTTCATCACTGTTAAAAGCACACTTCTCTGTTATTTTTTGTTGGCATCACAGTACGTCACTTTGTAACTGTATTTTCAACGTCATATATATATATATATATATATATATATATATATATATATATATATATATATATATATATATATACTGTATAATTATTAAGCAACCAGGCCAGATATATTTATACCTCTTTTATCACATGCTTTTTTTAACCTAGTAAATGCTATTATACGATTCACCACTACTAATTTATCCCCAATCTACTACTTACAATCTCTGCTACTCACAGCCACTGTGGCTTGATCTTGTGTAATTGTTATTTCCCACTTTTTGGGTTGATGTGGTCTGGTCTGCTTGTATATAAACTACGTATGTCTAAAATATAATATTCGTATAACAGAGGCAGATTCATTCATTCATTTGATCACGTAAATATTAGTACAAAGGGGCACGGAATGCATGTGCGCTACACAAGTTACTTGGGTGTGGGCCGTAATGCCACCCGGATGCCCAAACCGAAGTGAGGGGGCCACACCCGGAGCCTTTAACCTAAAGGTCTGATCCACAAAGCAATGAAGCAACGCTAGGAAATGAAGTCCTATGGTAGCCGGTGACCAATAATTGGTTCATAGACCATTTGTTCCCTCAGGATACTGGAGCCCATGTGAACCATTGGTTTGGAATCAGGGTTTTCCAACTCCCCTAGGTGGATCTTTTATATCCACCAACCCGGTTGATCATTGTATTCTGGACTCAACGGGCAAGGGGGGGTGATAGGCTACTGTATCGAGGACGAATAAGGATCCGGAGTCGATTTAGCTTACAGACAAAGTTGTGAGGGTCAGTATTTTAATTGGTCGTTTTATCAAGTGATATTAGACAGGGCCATAAGTTGTAACATGATAGATCTCGGAAAATGTCTCACATGACTAACAGTCACTTTAATATAGACCTTCCCGTAAACATGAAGAACTCGCACAGCACATTCAATTTATAATTAGTTTAGATCATTGTTGTGTAATAAGATTACTTTTCGTAGTTCTATATGACAACGCAATTTTCTGAGGCTCTAAATGCAAAGTGAGTCCAAATCTTATATAAAATTAATATGGGTTGGTATATTGATACAATATTGATCAGTATTTTATTAATACCAATTTGAAATGCACTTGAAAACAGCTATTAAAAATTATATACGGCTTCGTTTGAGTCTAATAATTACGGAGAAAAACAACTTTAATTAAACATTAAGCTAAGCATTATTCTGGTTCATACATTTAGGAATATGAATTTGAACTGTAAGTGGTGTTCATAATAGGTCAGTCAGTCAGTCAGTAACAACGTAGAACTTCGTACGTACGTACATCAGTTCGAGTTGCCATACCACATTAGCACAGAGATGCAGTGGTCGATTCAAATCCCGTAGTGGTAGAGGTAGCAAGAGTATAAGCAGTAATCGGAAAGATTAGGGTTTGGAGATGTTATTTAACAAGTATAATCCAGTGAAATAAATTTGGAAAGAGGAAAAAAAAAGGGGCATGAAGAATTCAGATAATTAGAATTTGGGAGAACATAGAGAGTGGATGCACCTGCGCCATTGCAATCGATTTTGAGCCATGTCATTCAGGGTCTCTAACCATCGGTTGCTATCATCTCGCGGTCCCCAACCAGGTAGTCTACACCTACCAACATGACTCAGTCCACTTGTCAGTGACTTCATGGATTTGTGCCATGTTTTGGTCTGGCCGCCCCTAGCTTTCTTCCAACCTACTCCTATACCACTGAACATCGCACATCGAGGCAGCCGGTCGTTGGTATACGTAACACGTGTCCCAGCCATCTCAATTGATGAAGTTTCACTACTTCATCAATTGATTTGCCATCCTTACCTAGTACCCGTTTCCTAACAACTGCATTACTTACTCGATGGTCCCAGGATATATGAACAATATTTCGAAGACACCTATGATCGAATACTAGTAAGCTACGAATATCCTCTACTCTTACCGGCCATGTTTCACAGCCATAAAGTAGGACGGAACGAACTGCTGCGCAGTAAACACGTCCTTTGGTTGGTAGACGGATATCTCGCCTACGCCATAAATGACGCAAGTTGGCAAAAGCTAGTCGAGCCTTCTGTATCCGTGCTGAGATTTCGTTACACACCAGGCCACAAGGGCTGATGAGACTTCCAAGATAAGTGAAGCGGTCGACACACTCAACTACTTCACTCCCTATCACTAGTTCGGGTGTCGATGTAACCCAATCCTGAAGCAACATTTTGCATTTCGAGGGAGAGAATCGCATCCCGAACATGCTTGCATTGTTGCTTAGAGTGGTCAGAAGACTCTGCATTTTGTCAGCGTCTTCACCAAATAAAACTATGTCATCTGCATATTCTAAGTCAACAAGTGAACCTCCCGGTAGAAGTTCAACCCCCGGAAATTTAGATGAGGAGAGTGTTATCTCTAAAAGTACGTCGACCACAAAGTTGAACAAGAATGGGGAGAGTGGACAGCCCTGACGAACACCACTTGAGGTAATCAATTCTGATGACAGTTCGCCATAATAGGAGAATTCTAAGAACACAACGACATAATTGTACAGCACATATCCACCATTAGCTGTTATAAAATATAAATAAAGTAAATCAAAATTACCTTCCATACAGCTAATTCAGGGTGTTGATTAAGCATTCTTGTCATTTTCGGTTGATCACAGTCAACGATAGCTAACAACCAATCTTTCTGTTCTTGAGTCATCTGTTGATTAGATTCAAAGTAAAAAAGTGGAAAGTATTGGTTAGAAAAAATATTTAGCTGAAATGATAAAAAGTATGTAACTACGTGATACAACGATAATTTGCCGTTTTCTTAATTTAATAACGGTTACATAATATTGTGCATACGTTAACGAGCCAGTGAAGAGGATATAGGGAAATACCCGACCGTTGTTTCTACCTTGACGTGGTGGTCGGGCCTGCCTATCGTGATGAAGCAACCGAGTTATACTGACTGGAACAACTGTCCCTCAAGGTCCTACCACGTCAGAAAGGTCGGTTGAAGAGCGGTAAGACTAAAAGCAACAAACCCAAGGTCTGAAGGCGAAGTCGTACTGCTGACTGTACAGAGGTGTGACAGCAGTAAGGTGTTTCCTTCAGACAACCAGCATGACAGCGATGCTACCTTCCCACAAGGAAGGGTGGGGTTAGACAAGGTCGACCCTAAAAATGCACACCACGACTTATCCCACGGATATCCGTCTCTGGCTGTAAGGTCTCAACAAGTACGGAGCTAACACAAAAATTGCCCATAAAAAGGTCGTGTGTGACCGACCTCAAGCAGTTGTCCCTTGGGCACTGCGGTCACGCTCCCAGGTCACTAAGACCACCTTTAATCCAATTTCCTTTTCAGGTACCTCCAGAACAACCCTTCCACGGTGTGGGCAACCGGGAAGTGATAACCACCCTCATACCTTTACCAACACTCGAGACCATAATCAACCTCCGTCTTCACTTCCTATTATTCCTCCTACATCAACTTTCACCTCTAAACTTCCTTTTTCGGCTTCCTCCTCAAATGTCATCATAGCCAACGATTCTAGTGCTCAAAACACTGTTCCAGGTCTACTGAAACCTCGCTCCGAACTACACACTGGAGCCTTCAACGTACACATCGTATGTCAAATCGGTCAGCAGGCTTCCTTGGCTAGGACCCTAGAATCTCGTACCATTGATGTATGCTGTGTCTCTAAAACACGCATACAGGATCCCAGTGTGTTCATTCACTTGACCTCACCTCGTCAAAGCAGAGAGCCAACGAGATACACCCAACTGAGGTCACACTTAGGTAGTTTTGAAAACGAGGCTGACCCAGATGTTGCTTGGAAAGATATGCAAACAGCTGTGGAAACAGCAATGAAATCTATTAGTGACTTAAACCACAGAGTTACAAAGAACCAGTGGATTTCTTCAAAGTCGATCACACTGATGGATTCTCGCAAACTCGTCCCATCAGGTTACGAACATGATGAAGAGCGACAACAAATCAGATCTAGGTTAAGAAAAAGTCTAAGAAACGACCGTGAGCAGTAGTGGGCAACGAAAGCAAAAGAGATAGAAAAGGCGGCAGCTATAGGGAACACAAGACAGCTTTACAGACTAATAAAAGAAACTGGAATACATAAGTCAAATGTAAGTGAGATTATTTCGGAAAAAGACGATACTCTCATCTGCTCTCAGTCCAGACGTTTAGAACGATGGGCGGAACACTTTAGGGAACAGTTCAGCTGGCCTTCAGCTACTCTACAACTACCGTCCATTCCCAGACAGTATGAATGGAACATTGAAGTAGGTCCCCCAACTCTTACTAAAGTTCAAAAGGCTATAGTTAATCTGAAACGAGGAAGGGCAGCTGGTCCAGATGGATTGGCTCCAGAAGTCTTTAAGGATGGTGGTCCAATTTTAGCAGTTAGGTTGACTAATATTTTAGCTAAGATCTGGGAGTCAGATGTTATTCCATCTGACTGGTCGCAATCACTTATCGTTCCAATATACAAGAAAGGATCAAAATCATCTTGTGACAACCACAGAGGGATTAGATTAACAAATATAGTATATAAAATACTAGCCTCAATAATAATCAGACGCCTAACTAAGACTCGTGAACTGCAAACACGAGAGAACCAAGCTGGCTTCAGACCTGGTCGTGGCTGCATCGACCACATATTCACCATTCGTCAGGTTCTAGAACATAGGTATACTTATCGGCGTCCGACGATGGTGGTCTTTCTTGACTTAGACCGCGAGATTCTGTGGCAGTGTCTGTCATTGAAAGGCGTACCCCGGAAGTACATAAACCTTGTAAAGGCTCTTCACTCGAACACTACTAGTCGAGTCAGAGCTTATGGCGAACTGTCATCTAGTTTTGCAACCTCAAGTGGTGTCCGTCAAGGCTGTCCACTTTCCCCATTTCTGTTTAACTTCATCATAGACCTACTGATGGAAATAACATTCTCGTCGACTGAATTCTCAAGTATTGATCTCCTTCCAGGAGGTCCACTTATCGACTTAGAATACGCAGATGACATAGTCCTGTTTGGTGAAGACGCTGATAAAATGCAGAGTCTTTTGGTAGCACTAAGCAACAATTCCAGAATGTTTGGAATGTGCTTCTCTCCCTCTAAATGCAAGTTGTTGCTTCAGGACTGGTCTGCGTCAACACCCGAACTAAGGATAGGGAGAGAACTAGTCGAACGCGTCGACAACTTCACTTATCTTGGAAGTCTGATCAGCCCTAATGGGCTGGTATCGGACGAAATCTCAGCACGGATTCAAAAAGCTCGTTTGGCTTTTGCCAGCTTATGTCACCTAAGGCGAAGGCGAGATATCCGTCTATCAATAAAAGGACGAGTATACTGCGCGACAGTCCGTTATGTTTTACTTTACGGCAGTGAAACATGGCCTTTAAGAGTAGAAGACACCCGTAAGCTACTAGTATTTGACTACAGATGCCTTAGAAATATTGCTGGCGTCTGTTGGGATCACCGGGTAAGTAATAGTGAGGTTAGACGCAGGGTATTAGGTGATGATGGTAAATCAGTTGATGAGGTTGTGAATTTTCATCGACTGAGATGGTTGGGCCACGTGTTACGTATGCCTGAACACCGATTACCACGACGTGCAATGCTAACCGGTGTTTGAGATGGTTAGAAGAGAATTAGGGGCGGCCAAACCAAAACGTGGCATCAGTGCTTAAAGACACTAACCTCTAGTCTGAGCCATGTTGGTAGATGCAGACTACTTGGTTGGGGTCCGCGTGACTTTCGTAACCGATGGTTGGAGACTCTTGGTGACATGGCTCAGAATCGATCACAATGGCGTCGGTGTATACACTCTCTGTCTTCCCTTAAACTAAGAAATTAAAATCACTTCATATCTTTCTTTCTACGAACTAATTCTATGTTCCGGTACTGTATCCTTATATGCAATCTTTCTCCTATATATTACCACCTTTACCCTAACCACTCCTATGAATCCGGTGTTCATCTTGCTGTGCTAACGAGGTATGGCAACCTGGGTCGATGCATATATGTGCCTGGTCCTACGTTGTAGCTGACTAATATAGGGAAATAGCTGTTCAGATACAATTAAGCTTCACTTGAACAGTTAAATCAAGTTAACCAAACCTTAAGTTGCAGAAACGTTTTAATGGAACAGACGAGACATGTGGTGTGAGTGCACTTTTCATTGCTTGACTTTATGCTGCAATGGAGGTAGAAAGCATGATACTATATACGACGAGTGTATGTCACAGTTGATAATTATTTTGAGGGTAAGCCTTATAATCAAGATTCTGATTGATAGGAACATCAATAAACTTGTCTCATTCAATTTCCATAACGACTACTGAAATATATCATGAATCGTCCGTTACTTTCAAGTTCTAGAATTCATGTCCATAACCAATTTCAAATCAGAGATTTTGGCAACTATTTTTTTACTCCAACGTCTATATTAGATAACGCAATGTGAAAGCAATTTAAAAAAACTCCTGCAAGTAATAACTACGGATTACAACCGTGTAAACACTTTAAAATGGGTCACATTACAGTATAACCCCGTGGTGTGAAAGATAGTTTTATAACATTGGAATTTTAATCCATCATTAATGTTGTCAGAGTCCCAGAAACGATGCAGTTCAGTAGATTGACGGGTTATTAAGTATAATGCAAAATAGTAGCCAGTATTGTTCCAGCTTTTGTTTTTTAATACAGCCATCATAATAGTGAGGTGGGCTTTATTACCTTAACGAAATGTTTATTGGCTGTATTTTTAACATAACTGTATCTCTTACTAAATACTATTTCTAGTTATTTCTTTGCTGACCGTACTACTATTCTCTCCTGTTTCCTAACAATATTTTTCCTCCATTTGTCCCTTACTATGTCAGGGTTTATGTGATTTCAGAGATTCGATAAAGGATCAGTAATAAATGAACATATATGGTACATAAACATAATCTATTATCAGAAACTTACCGGAAGGATAGAGGTGGAATTCTACAACAGAAAAAAGCGTCATTACTATAACTTTACGAATTTAATAGTTTGAGATAAATTATTATACTTGCTTTGACATAGTGTAAAAATCAAGAAAACAGGAATGTGAGTTGTGGGAGACAAGTAAATAGTTTCAATGTAACATTGAAATTTCTAACATATAGAATAGGCATTAAAAAGAAGAATATATTTGTAAAATCTCAGCGAATGGATTTTAAGTAAATCCAACGTTTCGCCTGGCAATCTGGTCCAAGCTTTTTCAAGGAAAATGTAATCAAACAACAAAATTATCGAATATAAATAGGTACAAGGTTCTTTGGTTTATTGTATACTGAATAAGTCATCCAATCAACGTGAAGTATTTTCATAAATTTGTATTTGTATTAATGTGTAAGAGACATGTTTATTCAGTATACAATAAACCAAAGAACCTTGTACCTATTTATATTCGATAATTTTGTTGTTTGATTATATTTTCCTTGAAAAAGCTTGGACCAGATTGCCAGGCGAAACGTTGGATTTACTTAAAAATTCATTCGCTGAGATTTTACAAATATATTCTTCTTTTTAATGTCTCAAATGAACTCGGCGCCCAAATATTGTGAAACTATTCGTTTAAATTTAGACGAAAGTTCTTATTTATATATAATAGGATCACATTAATGTTATGAGATATTGGATAATTTAATTAATGGTTTTCTGACTCACTTTGTTTTTTGCTTTAACCTAAGCCCATCAGACAAACGTTTCATGAACCCGAGACCGCACTAATTTATTTACAATCCATCGTAGATATGTTGATAATAGAACATAACTTGATACACTTAATGTAACTAAAATTTTCATATTTAATCTTATATAGTGTTGACTTTGAATACTAAACCTGTAAGATATGAGGGATTATATGAAGAATATTAAATGCAAATGATCTTTACCAAATAAAAGCTTTGCTGGAAGAGAGCTTAAAAAAGATTAAGCTTAGGACGGTAGGAGAGAGATAACTATGAGTGACTTATATTCGAACAACAACAACAAGATGAAGATTAAACAAAGCAAACAATTTATTTCTCCCTATCTACCTGGTTATGAGAGACAATATCCAAGCTATAAACATTTAAACTTAGCAAGCTGCGAAAAGTTGAGTCCAGGTTTAATTAGATAGAAGTAGGTTATAAATGAGGTGTACTCGATAATATCAGTGTAAAAAGCATATAACAAAATCAAACTTACTATACTATTGCTCCCACTCCCATCATCTAAAGACGGTACCGTTATAACCATATTTTTCTCGTTATGAAACTTGTCAGATAATAAACTTGAGTGTTCGGGGCAAAAAAGCTACATCTATGTGTTTGTGCCGAAAGTTAGCGTATCAATGAAAAATCCGTCACTTCGACTGTTGACGATTCTAAAATAGATGAAATGATACATCCTGAAATTATGAAAATTAAGAGAACAAAGAGTCAACTAAGCTTTATTTCATGCGAAAGAGCTTGAATGAAACATGTCAACAGGTCAGTTAGCCATAAACAACACAGAGCCTGGCCCAAATTACTACACCATATAAACAGGACTAAATGGAATTGCCAAGATGAATACTATAGTAGTATCACTGATATTGATAATGACTATCGATAAAGATGGATGATTTGGAGAATCAATAGACAATAAATTCATGGACAAACGCTACATTTTGGTTTGACCCTTCATAACTCTTTCCAACTGGACTGGTGAACAGTATACTCCTTTCACAGGATAACACTATGTCCGAAGATTAGGCCTAACAGTAACGTTCGAGTTGATTGAAGAACACGTGACCTTCAAGCTAGTTTCCTCCAATAATCCATAGCATTTTATTATGTTTACTTTGAGCTTATATTTTGCATAAAAGATGTAATTTTATTACATGAAAAATTTATCTGCTCAGTGGTCTTGTCTATGATTTCGAACTAATTGAGGGCAAATATCAATTATGTGGTCTTATAAGTATCCATTACTGGATTACATTACACCATTGCTTTCATCAATCGGTTATCACTTTGAAATTGCGCCTTAAACGGAAGAGCTTTACAATACAAGGGAACAGATATAACCCGCCAACAATAGCAACTTAACCTAACAAAAGTGAGGCGAGATTTTCGAAATAGCTTTAATATTTCACCAAGCATCAAACCACTAGGGTTCATTAAGTTGCTGAAATCCCTAACATGAGAAGCACGTTTTTCGAACGGGAAATTTGGCCCTAACGTTATTGTGTTTTTACGCAACAAAAGTACCACTTCTAAGCAAAAGAAACTATTCTAATCTAAACGATCGATAGATAACTTTTTTCGAGTTTCTCCCAATTTAATATTTAACTATGTTTTTACCTCAGCTTACTACTCGGGTTTTATTTCAGTTTTTCTCGTAAAGACTAGTTCAGTTTACCTCACCTGTTTCTATCCATTTCTGCCCGTTTTCAGTGTGTTCTTAAGTGTATTTTTGAAAGTTTGAGGCTTTTGCTAGCATCTATAACACAGTTTTCGTCAACATAGTTCTGGCGGTAAATAAATCCCCATAATAAATAGCTCTGTAAGTCTTCGACATTGGATGCTGATCACATTAGTTTCAATGGACTCACCTAGCTGAAGGCGCTCGGTCATGCATCCACACCAGATCACGAGTGGAACGCCGTGCTCAACAACCCCTGCAACCGCTAGCCAGATTAGATCAGACGATCCTCGATATATTGATGATGATAGCCTATCAAAAATACCTTCGAACCTCCTCGCTTCTATCTTTTGATTTCACTTGGTGGGTACGATTCGTGTTAGGTGTTACTGGTTAAAGCGTTGTCAAACTCCGAATACCTGTGGCATCTTCATAGTCATGAAAAATTCATGCAAACTACCTGGACGCCGTTTTGCTTTTACATCTGTCATGCAGTGCGACAACTGAAAAGGTTGGTTCCACGAAACGTGCACAGATCTTACAGCAACTGCTTACACCAGTCTCACCAATTCTGATCATATGTGGAAATGTGTTACGTGCAGCACTGATGCTGAATTGCCTTATTGTTCTATTGACAGGTCTGCGGAATAAGCTCAAATGTTTCAAATGGTTCAAATCGTTGTAGACGCAATAGAAGATGCTTTCGCTTAACAGGCTTCCGTGTCTAGTAGCAGGGGATCACCAAATCCTCCAGGCAGGAACTTAGATATGTTAACAATAACAGAGGAAAAGAAATTAGTAAATCATAGTGTGGTATTATCTTTAGTCCTTAAGAATAGGTCACGTTGCCTCTTAAAAGACTCCTGGGAAGTCGCTTGGACTAGCTCGGTCGGCAGCGAATTCCAGCATTTGGTAACTCTTAAGGAGTAGAAGTTGTGTCAACAGTCTGATCTGCTATGTTTTGTCTCCAGTTTTTGGGTGTTACCTCTTAGGTTAATGTTGGAACTAAGTTTAAGTAGGTGTTTGAGAGGATGTCCAGAAGTGTTAAGGGTACTATAAACCATCAGTTGTCAGCAAACGTGGAAAAAGACCGTCATAAGATGGATACACAAACACGTGAGCGCAACAAAAACAAGGACAGGGATGTCGGCAGGTCTACCATCGATGGAGCATGCATTATCACTAATGATGACCCCATTATTATGTCGACGGTAATAGACTCCCTCAGTAAACTCGGGCCTCCCAGCTCAGAGACCTTGAATGCGACAGTGGTTCCCGAAGACTATGTTGGTGATTGGACCCACGTTAACAGAGCTCAAAAGAACCAGGCGTCACCGTCTAAACTAAGCATCCCAAGTGTAGTATGGAAACCAACTGGTGATTTCTTCGCACAGTCTACCCACAAAAATGTCCGTCCGGTCATCAAAGAGCCAAGGATTCATAAACGTGCATCGACTACCAAACAACAAGGTGCTAAACCTGAACGCACCGGAAAACCTGGGACAACGATAATGGTTCGTGATGACTTTCTCATAGTCATGAACTTCAAAGATAACCCTGACCTTCCTCTCAGTTCGCGGGACAAAAATGACAGGATGCTCTGGGGAGAATTGAACAAGAAACTTGAACTTCCAAGAATAGAGCCTTTGACGGTCACATGGCTCACTCGGAGAAAGGAGTTTAAGCATCAAAATCACCCGAGGCTACTTCGTGTAACACTTAAGTACGCTACCGACGTAAAGAATATCTTGATAGCGAGTCATTTACTGAAACCAGATGAGAACGTAAGAATAATGCCTAAAATACCGTATTCCGAGCGCAATCTCATCCGGAACATCCCTTAAGAATCTCGCGAGAAGTTTTTCCTCGGAAGAAATATAATTGTGCAAGGTGTACCGGAAAACATGGCCCCTAGTAAAGCAAATTCTGATATTAGGGAATGGAAATTCATGAACGCCGTGAGTCTACCAAAGAAAATGGATGATCTACATGAGCTCAGCAATGTTAATATTGCTTATCTTATAGGAATCCCTGAAACTTGGATATCATCTCAGTTATCGGACTAGGAGTTAGCAGTCCCTAGGATGTCTTTGTTTCGCAATTGGGGTTGGAGTAGCCGTGTACATACGATCCTGTCTGGAGGTACACCAAGTTCACAACCTCGAGTTTAACAATCTTGAGGAATCCATATACTGCTCTGTAAGATTGTCTGTTACTTCGAGGTGTCTAGTCGAACTCATATATAGGAATCCCACCGCCGACATCGATTAGCCCGCTCTACTCGTCTCGGTTTCACTCATATCCTGATTCTTGGGGACTTCAATATCCCTACAGTCAAGTTCGCAGAAGACGCGTGTATTGGAGGGAATAACTCAACTGAAGCTCGGTTCTTCAACCTCATTGAGGATTTGGGATTATACGAAAATGTAAAGTCGGCAACTCATTGGAGAAACAGTCAGACACTGTCGAGCTTAGATTATGTGTTTACAAATGAAGAAGAATTTCTAGTTGACAACCTCTCAATCTTAGCTCCCCTGGGGAAAAGCGGTCACGCCGTTATAGCCTTCAGTTTTGTCAGCAAAACTGCGCTGGAATTTCAAACGGTTGAATGTGTCAGTTCTACAGGACTATCTTCAACAGGTGGATTGGGATGCCCACCCTCAACTCGATGTGGGCGGTCAGTTGGACTTCTTACTGCACACGCTCATATGTGCTACAAATCATACAGTTCCTCAAACGGTCCTCCATAGCTATCAACAACTCACAATCATTAGGAACCGCACTCTTCACCTGCTAAGTCACAGAAGACACTGTTGGGCAGAGTATAAACGAACTGACAACAACGGAGCGTACAGGCAATACAAACATGTAAGGAACATATGCACGAATGCTATAAGAAATGGCAAGCTTCAGTACCAGACAAAGCTTATGGACGTATTTGTCTCTAATCCGTAAAGCTTATTCCGTTATGCAGCCTCTCTTCGTCAATCCAAAACTTAAGTTTCCCAACTGCTAGGTCTTGACGGTTCGACCAACGACGACAGCGATGCCGCTAAACTTTTGGCTGAACAATACTCTCGAACATTTCAACCGACCCATATCAAGTATACTGATGAAAGCTTCATCTGCAACTCGAAAGGACTTCTCGAAGTGAACCTGAGCGCTGACTTGGTGTTCCGGAAACTGCAGCACTTAAGAATAGACACTTCATCTGGCCAAGATATGGTCCATTCCGCTATACTGGGGGAAGCAGCCTCAATCTTGGCAATGCCACTTAGTATGATGTTCTCACACTCGCTAAGCCGAGGCAAACTACCGGAAAATTGGAAGTTGGCTCACATCACACCAATTTTCAAAGGATGTCGAACCTTTAAGTTACCGACCGATGGCTCTTCTCTCAATACCTTTGAAAATCATGGAGTTCCTGATATGCGATTTTATATATGACTATTTACTGTCCTTAAATGTCTTCTCACCCCAACAGCATGGTTTCAGGAAGGGTTACTCTTGTATAACCAACCTGCTGACTGCAGTGGATGGATGGAAAAGCATCCTCGATCACAAGGAGAAGCTTGATATCATCTACCTAGATTTTTCAAAAGCTTTTGATAAGGTTAACCATTTATGTCTTATCAATAAGCTCAAACGATTGGGCATCAGTCCACTCTAATCGATTGGCTCACTTCATATTTGAAAACTCGACATTTTAAGATCACGGTTAATTTCACTTTATCTCAGGCTATGGAATATCCTAGTGGGTTCTCCCAGGGCTCAGTACTAGGACCTCTTCTCTTCTTGATCTACATAAATGATCTTCCTCAACAGGTAACGTCAGACTTATTACTTTTTGCCGACGACGTGAAACTTTGGAGATATATACGCAGCCAAACCGATATACAGGCACTTCAGGAGTATCTGACTCGACTTCAAAGTTGGACAGACGATAACGGAATTACCTTTAACACTTCAAAGTGTAAAGTAGTCCATCTGCGACATGTCGCAGACTACAGTTATAACTTAGGTAACTCCTCTCTAGTAGTATCCCAAGTCGAAAAAGACTTAGAAGTCTTGTTGCCCTACGATTTAAAGTCTTACGCTAACTGTGACAAAAATGCCTTCCGAGCAAACCTTGCACTAGTAACATTGAAGAGCATTTTTGGCCAGTTTGACGGAAGAACTTTCCACACAATCTTCAATAGATTTATCCGTCCCCATTTAGAGTTTGGAGACATAGTATTTCCCCCTCACTCCAAAATGATAAGGACACCCTGGAGCGTATTCAACGGCGAGCCACAAAATCAGTTCGAGGACTCAAATTTGAACCTTACGAAGAGCGCCTCCATTCACTAGACCTTTACCCATTAGAGTATAGACGTCTTAGGGGTGACCTTCTGATGGCTTATAGTATCCTTAACACTTCTGGACATCCTCTCAAACACCTACTTAAACTTAGTTCCAACATTAACCTAAGAGGTAACACCCAAAAACTGGAGACAAAACATAGCAGATCAGACTGTTGACACAACTTCTACTCCTTAAGAGTTACCAAATGCTGGAATTCGCTGCCGACCGAGCTAGTCCAAGCGACTTCCCAGGAGTCTTTTAAGAGGCAACGTGACCTATTCTTAAGGACTAAAGATAATACCACACTATGATTTACTAATTTCTTTTCCTCTGTTAT